CCTGAATCAGCTGGGTGGGTCTTGCCTCTAGCCTCTTTGCAGGGAGTTCTGCTGAAGGGTTCCGTGCTGGGCCTGCAGCCTGGGTCAAATGAGGATCCCCAGCCCCGGGTCATCTCACTCACTCGCCCGGCCTGTGCTCTGGGTCTGTTCAGGATCCCGCAGCCCGGGTTTCTCACTCACTGCCGGGCCTGCGCTCTCTTCATTCTTGATCAGACAGTTCTTTCAACTTTTCTCTGCCGGCGACCGCCTGGGCGCCAATCCCATCTCCAGACCTTCTGACTGACCACCAGGGATCACTGTCTGGAGATGGAGGAGCAAACAGCACATAGCATGGTCCTGAGAAGTTGTGGTCGAGTGGGACCTCTGAAATGTAATGCAGATTATGCAGAGTAGTTATGTGGGCGCATTTGTTTTTTTTAATTTTTATTTATTTTTATTTTTATTTTTTGGCAGAACCAGGGATTGAGCTCAGGCTCTTGCACTTGCCAGGCAAGCGCTTATTCTACTGAGCTATCTCCCTGGCCCTGTGGGCCCATTTGGGCTTCAGAGAGGTTCCTCTGATGACCGCAGGTACCTACTGCAATCCTGCCCAATGCTGTCACCTCACTCACTCCCCTTTCTAACTTCACTCTCGTCTCCCCTGCAAGGTGGGATCTGTGGTGACTGTTCTATTCACCATCTCAGACATCGCATACTGTCGCTGCGTTGTCAGGCCAAACACCATCACCCAGCCTAGTGGTGCCATGTCTGAGGACACCCTCACAGAGCCCTGCCTGTGACCTGTCTTGACCAGAAATCTACTGTCCTGTGATGTAGTCGACATCTCTGTCATTCTTGACCACTGCCCAAAGGACAGATCTTTGCCATGTTCTCTCGAGATGGAGGCTTGTTTATTCGCACTAGAAAGTGGGGTCCACGTCCTCGTGGTCACCGCTGAAGCTGTTGGGCCATTATCCACCTTCTGCTGACCTCTTTGGAAGCCCTTACTGCCCAGATGGGCCACACTGTGGACACTCCTTCTTGTCGCTATTGTGGATTGATATCCTAGTTCTTTCCTCCTATTCTTCAGAGACTTGGTCACCTGGTTGTAGCCGTTACCCCTCCCCCACACCGCGTAGGTTCAGATTGTCACTCTGCAACTCACAAACTATATGACCTTGCCTTGCCTCATAAAGGGCTGCCTAGTAAATGCCTATTCTTCCTCCTCTTTGGTGAGGTCTAGAATCTCCCAGGAGTTTGGAGTTTGGGGTCCCTCTTCTGGGCTTTCACTGCATGTCAGCTATCTCTCCACTTTTGTAGTTTTTGCATTGTATTGTGTTTATTTATTTGCATCTATTCCATGCAACCATAAGCTTCCAAGAGCAAGACTTCATGACTTTGTTTCTGAAATCCCAGGGCCCCCATACAATAAGGGGAACAGAGGTTGCACAAATATTTATTAGGTAGGTAGACGCTTAGACATGCAGGTACTGTCTGTCCACAAAGAGGCACAGAGCAGACATTCCCATGAGGGTCTGATTGGTGAATGTGAGTTGAGGGGCTTTTGAAGGTACTTAGATAATTTTTACAATATTGTAGTTCTTCACTACTGTCATCTTTATAACTTCATTTGCATTTTCAGCAGAAAAACAAATAAGGAGGCAAATTCCCAGCTCCGTATGCCCAATTATAAGATGATGTCTCTGTTAGACTTGTGCCTCATGGTGTTATTACTACTTCTGCTGGCCTTCCTTTCAGTATACTTTTGCTATCCCAACCCCTGCTCTGCAGTTGAAAACGAGGCCCACTGCGACTTTGTGAAGCTGCGTGAGATGCTGATTCGGGTCAACATGGAGGATCTTCGGGAGCAGACCCACACCCGGCACTATGAGCTGTACCGCCGCTGTAAGCTGGAGGAGATGGGCTTCAAGGACACTGACCCTGACAGCAAACCCTTCAGGTATGGCTCCCACCAGGCCAGGCCAGACCAGCTTGGCTCTACCATCTAGGTGGTGTGGAAGACTTTTCCTCTGAGAATTGAAGAATCAACGGGCGAGGTGAGGTGAGGGTGCTAGCTATGGCAGCAGGGTAACTCGCCAGTCCTGCTGCCCCTGTCTTGTCAGCCTCACATACCTGCTAGGAGCACCGTGGAGCGGGCAGCGAGGGAAGGGAAAGGGCCCAGAGGAGCAGCACAGCGGATCTCTTGCTGCCCCTCACCCCACCTACACAGCCAGCCTGAGTCAGCTGTGATGAAGGGGAGTCCTGGGAAGGGACCTGTTCCACTGAGTGGCAGTTAGTAACTGTCCTCTGCCCCATTCTTTGACCAGGCTACCTCTACCTGGTCAGTTTTCTTCTAGTCTGTCCTTTACCCTCCGCATTCTTAAAACGAGACAAGAGGACTGAGGTGTGGCTCAATGGTAGAGCAGTTCCCTAGCTTATGTGAGGCCCTTGGTTCCACCCCCAGCATGGCAAGAATAAGAGACAAAACAAATAAAAAAAAATGGCCAGGTGGCAGCCACTTTGGGACCAAGATAAGAGGAGTTATGTTCCCTGCGTTGATGCATACAGACTCTTCATTTGCGGTCTTTCATGTTTGCAATTTAAGTGTAAGTTGTGTTCTGGCCATGGGCTAAGAAAGAATAAGCACTGACATATTTCTCGAATCAGAATCTAATCCTACTGATTTGATTTGAAACTGTCTCATTGGTATTTGTTTATCAATAAAATTATGGCAAAAAAAAAGAATCTAAGATGCTTTCAGAGAAGGCGAATGATTTTAAATCAGTTTATTAAGCAGATGGGAGTGGCAGACCAATGTGAAGTGTCTGACGCTATGGGTGAGAGGTGACACAAGCCCTACAGTTAGTGGCTTGCTCTCCTTTCAGGAGATGTCAGGCATCAGTAAGCAAGTGAGGGGGATGTTTGTGGGCACAGCGAGATTTCAAATGGTCTGTGAGGGCCCACAGTACCTGTTCAAAGTGGAGAGCTGGCCTGGGGCAAAGCACGGCTGGTGCTTTGGGGCTGCAGTGGCAGCCCAGCAGCCTCAGGGCCCTGAAGGGGCAGGTGGGCCCTGGGCCACAGGAGCACCTGGGCTGGAGGAAGGCGTACGTGTATGTCTCAGTGGTGGGAGCTCCCTTGACTGTTCTCACCTCTGACAGCTTTTAGCTGCCTCTGTGGGGAAGAGCTGAGCTCTAACTGGCCTTTCAGTCCTGTCCTGTTGTCCTTTGCTCTATCCTGCATACCTCTGTTGCTGAATCTCGTCCTCCTCTGAGGGCCCCTTTCCACCTTCCCTATAAACATTTGCACCCTAAGAAACCCCCAGTGCCCTGCTCATCTTTGGTACCGGCCACTCACTGTCAAGAAGCCTGGCCCTGACAGGAAAGAGAAAGAGCTGCTCTGTGTTTGCCAGCCTCCACCCTCCTTTCTTGTGGTGTACTTCTCAGCCCAGTGCAGGCTGGCTTCTTCCCCCAGCTCTCTATGGAACAGCAGCACTCACAGACTTTGGGTCAATTTCACTGTGACCTTTGAGTCCCATCGTCCTTGATCTTATTGCGCTACACTTAATACTCATCCCCATCACCTCCTTGCGCTGCCATCCGGCCTTGGCTTTTCTGGTCCTGGCCTGGCTGCCTTTATTCCTCTCTTTCCCTCTCCTCTCACTCTTTCTTCTCAGCCTTCTTTGCAGGTTTGTTTTCTTCAGCTTCGCTCTTTAACTGTTCCTAGGGTCTCTACTGCTCCCACTCTGTCTTCTCTTCGCAGCTAGTTCTCTCTCCCTTCATAGCCCTAATTATCTACCTGGAAGTAGATACCCCACAAGCTAAAATCTTACTAGCCATTTCCACGCAGACATCCCATAGAAGCTGCACCAGAAACTTGAGCTAGTCACTGTCAGATTCATCGCTTCTCCCTCGAGCATTTTCCTCCTCCAGGGTTCCCCACTGCACTTGACAGTGCCACCATCCACTTGGGGGTCTGAAGCAGAAGGCAGAGCCATCTTTGCCTCCTCCATAGTCCTGCCTCCCCTGCTGCTTCTGCAGCTCCCTCCACTCCCTATCATCCCATCACACGAAGATCCTGCCAGTTTGTATGGAACTGTTGCAAAGTGTCTCCTTCGCAAAACAGCCACAACACTCCTTTCACTTTCTGGTTGGCTCAGCAGGAACCACCTGCTTAAGCCACGCAGTGGGTTCCACTTACTTCTTTCACCTGCGCTGCCATCCCTGGAGCCCAGTTCCTCCTCTTCCTCACCAAGCTACCTCGTTTCTTGAAGTGTAAATCCTTTTTTTTTGTTTTGTCAGAGATGGGTGTGTCATTATTATTAGAGAAGCTGTATTTGGAGAAGTTTGTTTGTTTGTTTTTGGCAGAACCAGGGATTGAACTCAGGCCCTTGCACTTGCCAGGGAACAGCTTATTCTACAGAGCCATCTCCCTGGCCCTGTATTTGGAGAAGGTTTTAAAGGACCTTTTCATACTTGATGCCAGTTCAAATATTGTAGGTACTTTAATTGAGCAAAATAACCCAATATACTCCACTAGTCCGTAATAGTAGTGGGTTATCCGTAGGACTGGCAATATCAGAAGTTGTTTGACGTGAGCCTTTTACAGCTCAGCATATTAATATGGCTTTACTTTTTATACCTTGTGGTTACTTTCTATTAGTTCAATGAGAAAAAAGTTTGTACTAATATTGTTTAGACAAGGTATCATGTCTGCATCTTGTCCTCTGAATACTACAAAGACAGCAATATGTAATATATTAATTATTGTAACTGTCCTACTAACCTGTTTTGAAACTGTCTCATTGCTATTATTTTCTCATTAAAATGAATAAAAAATTAAGAAAAAATAATATATTAATAGTAGAGAATAATATTAATAATAGTTGTCATAGTTATGCTTTCTTTAGAAGAAACTGGCCGAAGTATAACAGATTAAAATTATGAAAACCATAAAAAAAAAAGGAAATGTAAATCGAGGCCAGGGGTGTGGCCCCCAGCCCAGGCAGCTCCCACTAGACTGTGAGCTCTCCAGGTCAGGCATGGAAGCTGTTGCTAAAGGTGCCAAGCAACTAAAAATGTATTAGTACTGAGTTGAGCACAGGTTGGAGACACAGAAGGTTGAAGTAGCGAGATAATGCAGGCAGCTTCAGATCCAGGCCTGGCAGTACAACACAGTGGGAAGGCCCACATGAAGAAATGGGAGATGCGGCTTCTGGTCCCAGTGCTGCCTCTAATTAGCTGTGTGATCTTTAGTCACTTCAACTTTGCGGGACTCAGGCTCCTCGAGCGGAAAGTGAGGTTTGCCCCATGCCCCTCAAGCAGCCCTGGGAGCCTGCTCTCGTGTCCCAAGGCAGCTGCCCACCACTTTGGCGTTTGGTTTGCACCATCTCTGTCTGAACTGGGGAAAGGAGGATGGTGGAGCTCAGGGGCGGGGATGCGCAGGGCCAGTGTTCATGGAGGAGGAGCCAGTGAGAGTGACGGAATTAACCTGACCATGTTTGCAGTTTACAGGAGACGTATGAGGCCAAAAGAAATGAGTTCCTAGGGGAGTTGCAGAAAAAAGAAGAGGAGATGAGACAGATGTTTGTCCAGAGAGTCAAAGAGAAAGAAGCGGAGCTTAAAGAAGCAGAAAAAGAGGTAAATGTGAGTGCAAGTACAGGCAGGAGAGCCAGGAGGCCAAGCTCGCCTGGAGTCCGTGGCAGGGGCCTTGCAGCCATAGGAAGGAGCCAGCCACAGAAGCTGGCTGGCCAGGGGGCACTAGGAAATCGGTCTCACTGACCCTTTGTGCCCCAAGGTCAGGATGTTTTCCCATCTTGTGTTAATTTTCCAGAGCCTCTCCATCCAGTATCACAGCTAGTAGCGGCATCGGTATTTTAAATTGACAAAGACTCATAGTATATATTTATGGGGTACCACATGAGATTTGCATATATGTAAAAATTATGGAATGATTAAATGAAGCTAGTTAACATATTTGTCATTTCATATGTTTATCATTTTTTGGTACAAACGTTTAAAATCTACTATTTTAGCAATTTTGAGTTATACAATAAAATAAATTTATTATTTGCAGAAAGGGTGTTGAACCCAGGGCCAGATGTTAAGTCACTCTGTGACAATGAACTATATCCCCAGCCCACATTTGCTTTTATTTTTATTTTCTTTTAGTATCAGAAATTGATACCAGCTTTTTTTTTTTTGTACCAGGGATTGGTATCAGGAATTGAATTCAGGACCTTGCATTTACCAGGCAGGTGCTCTATTGCTGAGCTTTATTCCTGGCCCTCTTGTTTTTAATATTAAACTGGATTTCACTAAGTCACCAAGTTGCCCAGCTGGGTTCTTCCTTCAGATCCTCCTATGCCAACCCCCCCTAGAGTTCTGGGATTATAGGCTTACATTGCCACCACCGGCTAATGTACCGTAAAATTTAAAACTCCTTTCCTCACTCTCATTAGACGCATTTCAGTGCTCACTCCTCCTGTAGCTAGTGGCTGCTGTACTGAACCAGCACAAATACAGAACATTCCAACAACACAGAACGTTCTGTCCACCAGCACTGCTAGGGTCAAGCCCTTGCGGTAACGTCAAGTGCAGGCTGATTAGTTTCCCCACCCTGGGAATCTGGACCTCTGGGGGGGTAACTGATGATTTTCTCAGCTGACCTGTCCCGTTCCACCTCTGTGATGGCCATGAGGAAGGCTGCTTCCATGTGGTCCTGGGTAGTTTTCTGAAACCTAAAACAGAGACATCTGGGGCATTTCCCATTCACTTTGATATTCAGTTCCATTGCAGAGTTAAGGCGCTATCTGTGCAGCTCTAGTGAAGTTTTAAAATGAGGTTTGAGGGTCTCACTTACACAGGTGCAGTTGGTCCTCTATCTGTGGCTTTGCTTCGCAAGCCCCAGATTCACTAGCATAAGGTGCAGGTTGGCTACATCAGCTGCTGCTTTACCTCTCTGGGCCACAGAACAGCCAACCACAAGGAAGGGAAGCGCTTAATTACTTCCCAAGTCTCCTCCACCTTTAATCTACTGTGACTCTTGAAGGTTGTCATGAAGGCCTGTGGCAAGGTTATTGATTTCATTTCAGTTTCACTTTTAAGGAGAAAACCATCACCCAACACCTTTAGGAGGAGAGGCCTCGGGGGTCTCCGAGGTAAATGAATCAAGGTTGCATTGAAGCAAAGCAGGGTGAAAGCAACTGATGGGCAGCCCAGGGATGCCCCTACCCCACATGGCTAGTAAAAGCTGATTTGGGTGGCAAGGCCTGTCATTCCTCCTACCCTACAAAGTAACAGTCCCAGATATCCATAGGAATCGGGCCTCCTTTCTGTGCACTGCAATTATTACAGAATCCTACATTTCTCTTGAACCCACAGAATAAGGTGAAACTATGCTTGCTGTGCTCTCTGGTCAGGGGAGTTTACACATTCTACTTGGTGACCATCAATTCCTCTTTCTATCTGATTGATTTAGCACAGCGAGTGCCTGAACACACTTGCTGTTCTTTGGGTCTCTGGTATTTTCAGGACAAGTTAAGCCTTCCCTTTGGTTAAAACTGAAGTTTCTGCACTTGCTCCATTTCCTTTGACCAGCTTTGCTAGTGCTGTAGTTTTCTCTGTGATCCATAATGAGCTTCTTGATTGCAGAAAGGATACTGTGAGCGGCTGAAGCATGAGGGTCACAAGTTCAAGCTCAGCCTGGGCAACTTAGCAAGACCCTTGTTTCAAAATGGGAAAAGAATGGAGGGAGGGAGGAAGGAAGGAAGGTAGGTAGGTAGATAGGTAGGTGAGCAAGTTGGGATGTATAAAGACGCTGGACTCAGTCCCCAGTAACACACACACACCTGCAGAAGAAGGTGAAACTATGCTTGCTGTGCTCTCTGGTCACACACACACACACACACACACACACACACACACACAGGGCAGGAGCTGTTTCCATGCTGGAAATGCCATTACATAATCCTGTAAAGACTGACTTGACCTTGGGCAAATGCCTTAATTTCTCATATTTTCTGTTTCCTCATAAGAAGGACATCATGGCCAAGTACTGTGGTGCTCACTTATAGTTTCAGCACTTGGGAGTTTGAGGCAGGAGGATCATAAGTTCAAGGGCAGTCTGGGAAACTTAAGGAGACCTTGTCTCAATATCAGAAAATAAAAAGGCCTGGGGATGTACCTCAGTGGTAGAATATTAGCCTAGCATATGTGAAACCCTGTATTCAATCCCTGCACAGCACAAAAAAAAAAAGAAAAGAAAAAAATGAAAATGACAAAGGACATAATATTGATAAGATTGTTATAACAATTAAATGAATTAATACGTACCGAGTGCTTATAAAAGTCAATGTTGGGCTGTAGCTCAGTAGTAGAGTACTTGTCTATCCTGCAGGAAGCCCTGGGTTCCATTCTAGCACTATGAAAAACAATGTAACAACAACACAGCTTATTTTTTTAAAGTCAATGCTTGGCCTGTCGTAAGCAGGTAAATGTTATAATATTATATGTGATATTATTTATTAACTTTCTAAAATAACCATGGGAATTCATTTAAAAAATATTTGATTTAGCAAAACTTATTGCTCTGGGGCTGGAGAAACAGCTCAGTAGAATAAGCGTTTGCCTGGCAAGCTCAAGGGCCTGAGTTCAATCTCTGGTTCGGAAAAAAAAAAAATCCTTATTGTTCCTTTACTACTTTAGGAGCACAGATTTTGAGGTAGTGGCAGGCCAGAGAAGCACCCACAGCACAGTGCCCTTTGGTACTATCACAGTAGTCCCTGGCAGAAATGTCTCCTGAGGTCCTGGGGTCCTGTAGAGTTGCAACCCTGCCCTTCTGCCAACCCTGGGCTGGGCCAGACTGGGGGCTGCTTGTGGAGAACTCTACAGTTTTGGGGTTGTTTTTTTTTTTTTTTTTTTTTAACTCATTTAGTAAACAGAAAGCAATTCCTAGAAACTGTTAAATTTTGTCATAAAGTAAGGATGGTAGATTACTTCACTTCCTCTTAGTTTTGGTGGTTTTTTTTTTTTTTTTTTTTTTGGCTTCTCTGTCAGCTGCACGAGAAGTTCGACTGTCTAAAGAAACTGCACCAGGATGAGAAGAAAAAGCTGGAGGACAAGAAAAAGTCTCTGGACGACGAAATGAACGCTTTCAAACAGAGAAAGACAGCGGCTGAGCTCCTCCAGTCTCAGGGTTCCCAGGCTGGAGGCTCACAGACTCTGAAGAGAGACAAAGAGAAGAAAAAGTAAGTAGTGGGCTGCTCTGGGTGGTGGGCTTCTCGCTCCTCCTGCTGCCCATCCCCTTGGGGCAGGACCTGGAGCCTGAAGGGCTGGAAGGCTGAGGCCAGGTATGAGCTATGGGCTGTTACGCTGAGGTGAGGACCCATCCCTAGGCTGTGTCCCTGCAGGACCTTTTTATTCCCTGAGTTAGGGTTTCAGAGAGTACAGTATGCCCAGCCCCTCTTTCTGGCTTATGTAGGAAAGCTCTGCAAACATGGGGTGGCTGGAGGAAGGGAAAAGAGAAGAAAAGCCAAGGGAATGTATGAGTACATGGAAGGAGGAAATGAGCAGTGCAGAAGCACAAGAAAGAGGGACAGAAGGAAGGGTGCAGAGAAGGTAGTGGAGAACAAAGAGAGTGCTTTCGCAGAAGCCTCTGGAGCTGGAGCCGGAGCTGGCCCTGATGTGGCATACAGGCCCACCTGCTGGCCCTGTGTCTCATGCGGCTCACCTCTCCCAGCCCTCACCATGCCTTAGTTGTCACTAGATGCGGCCAATAAAATTTACCTGCTACCACTGAAGGGGTGGAGCCTGAAGGGGTGGAAGGCTGAGGCCCTGACTTTTCACCCCTTTACTATCTGTCCCTCCTGGCTGCTTAATTGTGTCCAGTCTGGGGACCTGAGAACCTACTGGGGAGGCCTTAGGTGCCATTGCCCTCCCAGTCACCCTTCCTTAAGCTGGAGGAAGGATTTTTAAACCAATCTATCTTCCCTGGTACTTAGTAAGGTAAGACAGCATAAGCTACTGGTTACCACCGGGCCAGTAGCCCGACCTCCAACCCCATCTCTGCTCACTGTACTTACCCATTCCTCATATCAGAAGCAGAGAGGAGAAAAGCACTTCTGTCCAGACCTGCACAACACTAAAAAAAAAAAAAAAATGCCCCGGGGTCCCCTGGTACTGTGTAGTTGTTTGCACACTGTGACTCCCAAAACTCCCAGATGAAGGGTTTAGCAGTATTCTTACTGAAGGGTTCTCTGGATCCAAAAGATGTCTGTGGGTTCTGCCTTCTGCTTTCAGCCACTTGTCTGTGGACTCAACTTTTGGATACTTGCCAGAAGGCACATCTTCATTTTGTCAATGCCTGGCTTGTCACTTAGGAATAACACCATGCCGTTGTGCACTGTAAAATATTTCATATTTGAAAACACTCAGTTTTGCTATCCAGTCATTCATATTTGACTAACAAGTGTGTGACTTGAATGTTTTCACTAACTGGTCCAGAAACTTTCATGACTGAATCTTAACACTAACTGTCAGCTTCACTGATGAACTTTTTTTGCTATTACCTGATGGATAAAGTTCAACTAGCCAAATGAAAGTCTCTTTGGACACATCACAGCAATTTATCTGGCATGGTGTATTAGCTATACAAGCAGGAATAGCTTCCTATTTTTAAGATCAGAAAAAGTGAAATTTGAAAATTTTTTTGGTGTTGTAGAATAGAAAAACCTAAATTTATCTTTCAGCTCTAATCTGTTGTCTTCATAGTCCTGTGGGATTTGTTAACTCAATCCCTTGGGCAGTTGCAGTTCCTGTGCTTGTAGGAATTAGGAGATTATGTAGTTTGTTTAGATCACACTAACACTAAGCTATAAGTATTCCCTCTTTGAGATGTTTAGTAAATGCTCATGTCAGACCAAGCTTTCCCCTTGTTGCTTCAAAATGACTTGATTTCCCCCATTGACCCCAGCCGGAAGACCCTGTACAGGGTGACACCTCTCTCCATTCTCCAGAAATATTTGGGATTGCTGAGTGCCCAGGTCTGAGATGGGGGAAATCCTTGTTGAGAGGTGTCACCTCATATTATCAGCAATAAGGATCTAACAAAATAGCCTGTCCTCTTCCATACTTCTAGATGTGTGAGTGGGCCCAGGTCTGGGCTCTTTATGTATTCCATGAAGAATCAGTGAACCTTTGGAAGAACTATGTTTAAACCTGTGCCACTCTGTGCCCATAGTGATGGTGATGGGCTTTAAGTGTAGAAATGGTGGTGGGTGCTGTTCTTGAGAGATGGCGGTTGAATCTAATAGTCGCATACTCAGAATTTCCTTCGGCTGGCCTTACATAGATTAAGAAAAAGTATGATGTTTCAGAGGTTCCTACCAGTCCCTCCTCCCTCTTCCCCTCCCTGCTACTCGTGAGCTCTCTTGACCTCTAACTCTTCATTGTTTGTGTCAATTCATAATATTTTATTTCTTCTCATGATCACTCCATCTTCATCAGCTCTTACTGTTTTACAGTTAATTCTGCTGTTTGCTGCATGCTGCATGAAACCCAGGGTCCTGGTAAGCTTTATTAACTCTAAATAGAACTGGTAATGGCTTCTAGAACATATCTCCCTCAACCCTGCACCCCCTACACACATATCTAATCATAAAAGAAACGGCTTTACTGGGGTAGCTGGTTTCCTCTTGTGACTTCCGGTATGAAGAAATAGCCTGCTGTGGTTTCAAGTGTGCATGGTGAATGCTTGCTTGTGTGCCTGCCTGATCAAGGGAGACCCTGCAGGCTTCTGCCGCTGGAACACCTAGGCAGCATAAGTGGATGCTGTGGTCAATATTTCAGGTTTTGATGGGGGCAGTTTTTGCCCCTAAAGAGTGATAATTATTACTTTCAAGATTAATTAACTGTGGTAGCGCAAGAAACCATCCTGCACTTAAAAGCCTGCTCCTGCAGTATGTGTCAGCACTGACCCTCAGGTTTGAGAATGGGCGGAGGCAATGGAAATTTGCATCTTTCTTTCCCTCTGGCAACTCTTTGTTCTCTGAAGGGTTCAGGTTCTTTGTTCACTTTGGCCTGTACCTCCTAAAACCATAATCAAAGTGGAAGAAATTGAAAAGACTTCAGCTAGAAAGTCTTCCACGTAGTTCCCCAAGTGCCAGCTTCATGCAGACCTGCTAAGGAGGCAAGCAAGTAACTTCTGGTAGGAAGTATCACTGAAGACTAGGTGTTACGTCTACAGAAGCAAATAAAGCACTCACTGGCGTCACGTAGCTTCTAGGACTGAAAGCGGTGATTATAGGGAGTTACACGGAAAAACCAGTGATTAGGTCTCTTTTATCTACTCTGCTACATTCAGGTCATAGATAAAGAATATGAATGATTTAAATTTAATGTAATTGGGCTTATTTATTATTTTTAAACTTTACCATGGCAACTTTCAGACATAAAAAATGTTACAATGTAGCCCCACATATCCACGGCCTTGCCACCAAATAGCTGTCAATATAGAGCCAGTCCAGCTGAGCATGGTGGCACATGCCTACAAGCTGAGCACTCTGCAAGGCTGAGTCAGGATTGCAACTTTGAGCCCAGCCTGGGCATTTAGTGACTTAAAAAAAAATTATATAGGGCTGGAGAGATGGCTCAGTGGTCTAAAGCACCTACTTGAAACAAGCTTGGCAAAGCACAGGGACCGCGGTTCAATCCCCCAGCACCACATGCCAGCCAGCCCCGCCCCCTGGTGGGCTGAGCTGGCCACACACACACACACACAATAAATAAATGTAATAAATAAAAATAAATAAATAATTTTAAAAAAAATTATATATATATATATATATATATATATATATATATATATATATATGGCTAGGGATGTTGTTCAGTGACCAGTACCACAAAGAAAGCAAAACAAAAGTAATGACCAATCTTTTCAAACTTTTTCATCAATTTCTCCCAACCTGCTGGAATATTTTAGGATAAATCTATATCATTTCATCTGTAAATATCTAGTATGTATCTGTATGACATAATGATTCCTAAAAAAATACACCTTACTATCATGCCTACAAAACTAACAATAATTTGGTAATATAAAATGTCCAGTCAGTGTTCACAATGCACCAGATAGATGCTGCAGAGACCCTTTTCCCATTTGGTCTGTCTAGCTTGCAGGATCTGATCTGTAGAGAAGACTTCTCCCCACTCCCCCATGCAGTGTATGAGTTAGATGGAGAGCTTGCTGTTAGTCACCAAACTGTTGGCTGCAGCTATTGCACTGGGGACACTGGACAGCTGGCAAAACATCCTACTCTCAAGCAGATCCCAAAGAGGAAGTCCACAGAGGCTTCGGAAACAGAAGGCCCATGAAACTGGGCCAAAAGAAACCATCCTAAAAGAATAATGCGATGATTTACTATCTGGCTTCCAGGCAAGTCTCAGAGCCCCCACTGGCTGACTGGAATTAAACAGCAGCTGTCCATTTAGGAAGACTATAAATTCTTAGATTATCTGTGCACTGCTGAAGTCCTAGTCCTAGCAAAGCATCTGACACACAGTAGGAGTATAGTTTTTGCAGCTTCTTGTTTTCCCGCAATTTCATCAAGAAAGCAGGAAAGGTATATTCTGATGAATCTGACTTCAGTTAGTTTACATTTTGTACATAGCTTGACACAATTTCATTCAGGTTTTCCCTGAGTACATCATATAGTGGCCAGTCTTAAGACAAATTCTAGAAAATATGTGATTAAAGGCACAGTTTACAAGTACGAGGTAATTGGTAGACTGCTGAACAGCCAACCCCAACACCAAGAAGAATGGCTTTTCCTGGCGAGCTTCCCCTGAGTAGGCCACAAAACCTTTTCTGTAGGAATTAAATCAGAGGAGGCATTGGCCTCCCAGGGCCTCAGAGCAACAGAGGCAACTACTACCTTCTCCCTAGAGCCTTCATCCAAGGGGTGGGTCACAACAGCCACCCACAGTGCAGACAGAGTGAGCCTTACAGTTCTCCAGCATGGACCTTCTCTGAGGCACTTCTTCAACTGTCTGTAATCAAAAGAGAAATTCCTCTATGACATATACCAGTTGCACATACTATGTTAGTGGTCCTTGGGGTAAACAGCATATGGACAGTATACACATCAAAACCACACTGCCTTCCCATGAAGCTGAGAGTATAGGTCTTTCTGTGTTTTTTAGGTTAACTCTTCCCCTAGGAAGTGAACAAAGAAGACATTAAGAGGCAAGCATTCTAGGGCTGGCCTGATGGCTCAGTGGATTAAAGCACCTGCTTAGGCAGATGCAGGGTCAATGGTTCGATCCCCTGGCCTGCCATGCTGGCCCTGCCCTTGGAGCATGGTGAGACAATGATTGAGACTGGGCATGGTGGCGCACGCCTGTAATCCCAGCACTAGGAGGCCGAAAACGAGAGGATCACCATGAGTCCAATCTATGTATTGATACCCTGTATACCCTGTACTAAATACATAAAAAAGAGGCAAGCATTCGTATACCACTTATTGATTTCTTTTCAAAATATTCTTCTAATTACCACAGTTCTTAGAGGTAGAGGCAGAAGGGATTTAAGTGACTAAGGATCACAGTGGGTTAGCGGTGGAACTACAACAGGAACATCTCATTGCTGGCATAAACTGCATTCACCTGATAGGTGCATGTATGTATCTGTCCCTAAAGTGTGTGTGTGTGTGTGTGTGTGTGTGTGTGTGTGTGTGTGTTGAAGTAAGTGTATTCACCTGGAGGAAAGGAATCACATTGTCATTTATGCCTATACTTCTCAGTAACTATATTCCTCTAAATACTTTGTAGACTGTATTTAATAGGATAAATGTATTCTGAAGCTAATAAATTGGCTGAGCTCCATAGCCAAGGAATTTTGGGGACACTGGTATGATGGGGAAAGTCTTAGTTAAATAATGAAGCAACTCTCACCCTGGTTGTAACACTTTCCTTGTGACCACAGGCAAGTCAGTTGATTTCTCTGTTTCTCAGTCTCTTTGTATGGGAGGGACATAGGGACCAATACTACTTGCCTTATTCATGATGTAGGAAAGAAGTTGAAATGGGAGAAAGGTCAAAGAGCTTTGTGAACACAAACCAATCATCGGCTTCCATAGCTCAACTTTTCAGTTGCCTGGGTGTGGATTCATGCTCCAGACATTTGACAAATAGCTCTTGCCCCAGCTAGCTAACTCGGCCTGCTCCAGAGGCTACTTGAGCTTCTTCTGTCTTCCCTGTGGGACAAGGAAGTACAGTGGCTAAGAACTTAGTGTTCTGTGCAGTGGCCGAAGGCCACTGGAGACTTGCTGAAAGTCTTCCTGCCACAGCTATCTAGGGTGGGGGGAGCATTAGGCCGGATCTAGTCATTAAGAAGAGATTTCTATAAATATTTTTGTGGTTGTTGGTCACTATTTGCATCCAGTGCCATTACTTCCACCATGTAGGAATGAGATGGGGTACACAAGAGAAAAAGCGTGTTCCCTGGAGGCAACTCAGTAAAATCTTAAGACTGTCTAACAGCTATATTCTAAGTTATCCATTAGTCATAAGGATCTAAACAATTTTCTTCTGAAAAATTTTTAGCATATTAATCTGTCTGTTTATTAACCCAACTTCTCTTTTCATTTTCAGTTTGGGCTTCCTGTAGACGTACCCTTTCCTGTGCAACAGAGCTGGGCCCCCCTTTCCCTAATTCCCCCTTAACCTGTCCAGAGGAGCATATAATCCCTTCCTTCCACTCTTTTCTGGCAAACATTTACAGAATCCTGAGAGTCAAAGGATGCTGTCTGGCCTCCAATCAAGAAGCCAGCAGTCCCACAGCTTAGAGATGCAGCCCATAATTGGGTCCCCCTCCTAGTGCCCCTCCTCACCCCCACCCTTACCGGACTGTAACATGTCACTGCTCCTCCTCACCATCAGCTTCCCAATTCAAACTCTGACTGCTGCTTGTTTCCCTGAGATATCTGCATCCACCCTGGCTGGATAAGCACCCGTGAGCATGGCTGTCCCCTCAGTCTCCTGCCTCCAAGATGTGTCCTCCCTGCCCTCTCTCCTCTTCCTAGGAACCTACAGCCCCTTCTCTGAGGGCTCTGAAAGTATGCCTTTTCCTTCTGGCCACTTAGTTCAGCCCTTTCCAGTTTTCATTCACTCAGGGTAACCATACTACAGCTGTGTTAAAAGTCAGTAACAAGTTTATTTATACCAAGCTCTTATCATAAAACACCACTGCAGGAACAAATAGCATACACTCCCCCCCCTTATCCCTGGGTAGCCTACAGATGCAGAAGGCAGAATAAACCTGAATACTGTTAACAGCCTAGAGTCTTGAGTGATAAACTTACAGAATCTTGAGGGGTTTCAGCATTTTCCGGGGGTTCCCACCATGCTAACGAGGTGGGGCCATATTGACTGGTCAAAGAATCCAGTGCTTGTGATTTGCAGGGATGAGTCTTCCGGTCTATTGGGTGACTGTGATAATGATTTTAATAGGCATTGTGCATGTGTTCCCAACAAGAGGTGTGACTATCAATTAGAGGGAAAAAAAGAGATGGTAGGCCTTGTGAGGTCTTCAACCTTCTCTCTAGTCTATGGGTTTGAGATTTTAAAAATATGCCATCCCTAATTTTTCTAATGGGTTCCCTAGGAGAGTGGCTTTGGGAGCTCCTTTGAAGTAGAAAGCCTTCATTGTCAGGGCCCTGAGGCACAATGGCCTTTGGCATTTGGCCAGCGAGAGTGAGGCTGGAGGCGACCTGGCAATGATCTGTGGCTAATAGCCGTCTCTCTGCCCTTCCTTTGCAGTAATCCATGGCTGTGTACTGAATAGTATCCCCTGCTACAGCTGGACTGGACTTCACTTAGCCTTTTAAGCGAAGGTTTCTGTTCTGACAGCTTTTCTTTGGGGTGTCAGGCAGCCGGGTCCCCACCCCTGCTGTGTACTTCAAGCCCTACTTCTTTTTGAGCTGTGCGACTTGCCCCTGCCTCCCGGTCCCACTGGCACCAACCATGACCTTCATTTTTCTTTTGGAGGTTGTTTTGTGATTACTTCCTTTTAAAACACAGTCAAACAAGGCCATGCCAAATTCCCAGGCCTTTTTGAAGTGTTGAGAAAGGGGAAAGAATGACTTTGTTCAATCATGGATAATACCAGGAAGCAAAAAGTATAAAAAGTGAAAAGCAAACAAATGCACACACATTCTCTTCTTGTCGGCAAAGCACCAATACAGTTTTGATACTGGTATGTTTCGGTTGGTGATTCACTGATGGGTTACTGGCCATGGCAGAAGACAGGGTCTTGGGAAAATCCAAGTCAATGTGGAGCATTTGAGGAGACTCTTTATTGCAAGTAAAAACAAACCACCACCACCAACAACAACAACAAAAGCCCCAAAACTGAACCACCAAAAATGCCCTTAAGATACTCAGCCAGTGGCTCAGAAAGTTAGGGCAGTTAGGCCTCCTCGGGAAAGGCGTCTTAGCTGCAGCTTTGCTGTTTCTAAATCTACCTTCCTTGATTACCAGACAGGAATCACTAGCCCCCGCCCCCCATAATTACTTCCATTACAAAACGGAGGCCTCTTATTTGTATTTATTTACAGATTGATTACTTGTGGCTTGAGGATCTCAAAATATTTCAAAAGGATTAGAGCCACACAGCTTATGAGAGACCTTCAGATTTTATAGAAAAGAATTTTCTGGGGCTGGGGAGATGGCTCAGTGGAATAAGCGCTTCCCTGGCAAGTGCAAGGGCCTGAGTTCAATCCCCAGTTCCGCCAAAAAAAAAAAAAAAAAAAAAAAGAATTTTCTATAAAAGGCAGAAGTGTTGCTTAGTAAGACAGAATCTACTTATTCTGGAAGAAGAAACTGTGGCCCAGATAACTGAAGGGACTTGCCCAAAGTCCCACTGTTGGCTCTTGGCCAAAGCCAGGCTAAATTCTACATCTCTAGATAGCCAGCCAATCCATTTCCTGAATCCAGCTGCCTGGATATGTGCTGGTCTGATGAAACCACATAATGAGTTGTCCTTGTCGGGCGTGGTGGTGCACATCACAGCTGTGATCCCAGCAACCCCGGGGAGGCTGAGGCAGGAGGAGCGCTGTGAGTTCCACGCCAGCCTGCACTGCATAGTGAGGCCCTGCCTGAAAACAACAATAAAACAAAACAGTGTTAGGGGACCCTCAAAGGATTTTCTCCCATAGGAAAAATAATCCGGGGATGGGGTAGTGGGGGCAAGCACAAGAAAGGCTTCAGGCCAGCTCTTTAATTTAACCAAATAGTGCAGTTGAGAGAAGTCACCAGGGTACTTTTCAGGCCTTGCAGCCAGGATGCTTTCCTGTCAGCCTGGACAGGGCCCAAGCTAATGTGCACTGAATTGGTGCTCTGGGTGATCCTTGTGGCCAGGGAGAGTTTGGGAAACAAAAATCTAACCTATGAGTGAATATAAGACCTTTAAAAGTCAATCAAGCCTATTAAAATAATCCAAATGCTTATTTCATTGGCTAGCTTTTCTCATTAAATGAAACTTTTTTTTCCCCTTCACTGGAAAGCCTTTCTAATTAGTACAGTTGTTACCATTTTTAAAAATATCCCAAGTTCTCTGGTTATTTTTGGTGAAACAAGACCAGTCATTAGAAATGGTCTGTGTTTTTTGGCTTTTTAGAAATCTTTCCAGGCTGGAATGGCTTTCCTGAAACACACACACACACACACACACCCCTTCATTTCTCTCAAGCCAAGATGTTTGCTTTTCCCAGCTTCAGTTCGGATCACTTTTTTGTTTGTTTGTTTGTTTGTTTGTTTGAATCATTTGGTATTTACATATGGCTGTTGATGTGTACTTGTTTTTATTAAAACAAGAAGCTTTTAAATTGGTGTGTGGTGTTCTTCAACTCTCCAGCAGAGTTTGCGTTGGCGATGGCCCCTCAGGCACCCCATTTCTAACCTGTCTTCTGAAGTTATAATCTCTGCTACCTCATACTGCCCATTCCCCTCCCTATCTTTGAATGTCCTTTTTCTTTGGCTAATTTCATGTTCTCTTTTTCTTTCTCTCGCCCTCTCCAGCTTTTTTTAATCTAATCTCCAGCAGCTGCACTAAGTCTAAAGGAGAAGACTGCCATTATAGAAGAGTTAGGGTTCCATATTGTCTCAAACCAGAAACCAACCAGTTCCCTCTCCCCTCAAACTGTGCACATAACACACACACAACACACTCAATAAATGTACATGTGTCCCCGTGTCGAGGCAAGAAGCTCTCTTCTGACTTACATGGTATTTTACAATGAAGTGTCTTGTCCCAAACTAACAAGGCAGGAAAAGAATCATCAGAGCTGGAAAACGGAGTAAATATAACCTCAGAGAGACCAACTACAGGACCACTCACCCAAGCGTAAGTGACTGGGGCAGAAGACCTCAGCTGTGGGTGTGGAAGGGCTGTTCACAATGTTTTGTTTGTGTTTTATGGGGTTTTAAAAAAGAACAGTTCTCTGGTTCAATGTATTGATTGTCTTCGGCCACTATTAAGCATTTCTGAATATGGAAGAGAAAGTTGAGTGATACATACATCTTCAGCATTCCCAGGAGAAAAGGAGAACGTCCCCAGCAAGGGGGAAATGGATCCGCTATCTAACATGCAGGTGGAGAAAGGAGCCTAGAGCAAAAGTACTCCATTCAGACTTCCAAGGCCATTTGAGGTTTCTCTTCAACCTGGGATCTGGAGGGAGAGTTTTGATGTTGATAAATCTGCCTTGAATTTAGCAGTTTAACTTCCATCAAAATACCATGTGAGATAGATCTCTACCACCATCACCACCATGCTGCTGTTCAGTGTCTCTAGAGAGCCTCTTTGCATGTTTTCTAGACTGTTTTCCCTTTCTTCTCTGTTCTTTTTGCTCAAGGATGTGACCTTCCCAGGCTTTTCATTTTCCAAGAGAAACATCCCAGAACCAGCACTGTTTAGCTTGATACCTTTCTAATGTCCATGTCAATTTTCAATAAAATTCAAAGAAATACTAAATGGCTCTGTGGTCTGATCCTAAATCATTAGGTAACATGGCTCCCCCTGGGCTGGGTTTGTTTTAAGAGGAATGGGTGGTGGCTTCTCAAGTGGCCAATTTAGGGGGCTCAGGGAAATACCATGAGGCCATGAAATCTTCCAAGGTGAGCAGCTTTGGGCCTCCCTTTCTTCATTGTGGGCCTGAAGTTCCCTTGGGGCAGGGTAGGTATCAGTGGGAAGTCCTCTACTTTCACTTTATCAGAATGGTTTAATTAGCTGAACAAATTGGCATGATAGAGGAAGTGGAGGAGATCACAGAACAAGATTCAGGTGAGCTTTAATTCTGGCTGGAACCCCTCCCCCCTTTTGTGTCTTCTCATTTAATACCATCCTGCGAAAATCCCCAAAAGTCATGAATATGGTTTGTTTATAACTAAAGCATTCTATACGTACTAAATAGTACTATTTTGTGTCCTTCAGTCTACCAGAAAGGGAAGTTTCCCTCCCCCCAAGCATTAAAGCGGGAAGGAGGAAGAATGGTCAGTTTTCAGAATCCTGACTGTGGCACAGGTGGAGTTTCCTTTCTTGGGCTTCATTTCCCTAATACCCTGATGCTGAAGGCTCGAGAACAGATTCGCATCCTCTGTACGGAAGCCTGGAGGCCTCTGCAGGGTACCAGAGGAAACGACGTTGGCCGGTCTCTGCGCAGCTCGCACACTAGGGGGCAGCCGATTGAGGCTGTAGTCGTCTGCGTTGTCACAGAGGCGGATGCTGAGTGCTTTGGAAAAACAGACCCAAGCCCGGCTGACTTGCTCCTGGTGAACTCACGGGCAAATTGTGTCAACTACTTCCCTAGAAAATGAGCATATCACTGGCACCTTTGCAGAACCATTATGAAGGCGACCTGAGCTAATGTAAGTAAGTGTGAGAGCTGGGTGTTCCAAGAAACAGGGTCTCTTATTAAGGATGGGAATTCCCTGAGAAAGTACTCACTGTAGAGTCCTTTAATCCAGGGTTCTCAGCGCTATGGATTTGCGAGCCAAATAATTGTGTGGAACTGTTACGTAAAGTATGCGGTAGCACCCCTGGCCTCTATCCACTAGATGGCAGTAGCACACCCCTGCCCTACACAGATGTGACAACCAAAAATGTTTTCAGAATGTCTCGATGTGCCCTGGAGGGAAAAATCGTCCCATGTTGAGAACCATTACTCGAGTCCAGTGGTCAGCAGCCTTTCTGTAAAGGACAGGCTGGTCAATATTTTCAGCATTCTGCTGGTGTTTTGTTTTTCATTTTCTTTTTTTTGCTATTTTATTTATTCCATAATTTTATTGAGAAACAAATAGTAATGAGACAGTTTCAAACCAAATTGGTAGGACAGTTTCAATAATTAACACACTGCATACGTTCTTCCTAGTGGTTAATTGCTGTACAAGATGCGGACTTGATATCCTATTTACAAACATCATTAGAACAAATCCCTCTATTCATTAAGAGAATGTAACTATATATCTATCCTAACCACTTTGAATACACGGATACTAAATGGACATTCATCTGTATCCCCTTTTTTGTCTGGTTCCGTCATTTGATATGCTGGTCTTTTGAAAGGAGCAGTTAATGCTTTTTTTTTTTAACTCTTGATTTTTTTTTCTCTTTTGAGTTTCTTATAACTTCTTTGTTACTTTTTTTTCCTTAGTGAATCTTGTATGTTTATATCTGGTAATCTGAATGACTAATTTGAAGATAGCATCATGTAAAGGGGGCCTGCCCACTAGCTCAGTTGTTTTAAGTGCCTGCTT